TGGTACAATAATAAGACAAAAGGCCGATCAGTTTTCCTTAAAATACGTTATCAGTGTTGCATATATGCAGAAAACAGCAAAAAAAAAACAGTATAACTCTTGGGAAAATGGTCCGATCAAGCTGATTTTTGAACTCAACTTGCGTATTATGAATATTCATCAGTTCAGTAAGTTTCAAGCCAAAAGGTAAAATGGTTTTTCACTTATCACATTATCAGTGTTGCATATGTTCTGAAAAAAGTGAAAAAATAGCATAACTTCCCTAAAAATGGCCTGATCATGCTGATTTTCTAACTTGACCTGCATATTATGAATATTCATCTGTGTCTGTACATAAAAAATTAACGAGCTTCAAGCGACAACAGACGCAGGTTATGGCTATATGTACAGACACATCTGTGTCTGTACATAAAAAAATTAACGAGCTTCAAGCCGAGATAGACAATTTAATAAAGAAAAAGCTAAAGAATTAGAAAAACTAAAGACTGAATATATTTAATCCTAGAGGCTAAAACTGAAGGTGCAATAATGCGTTGTAAAGGTAGATGGTACGGAAAGGGGGAACACAATACAAATTACTTTATCAACTTGGAAAAAAGGAATTGAGTTCCAAATACAATTACAAAACTAGAAATTAACAATACACTAAAAGTTACAATTAACAAAGATATTCTACAAAAACAGGAAAGGTTTTATGAAAATTTGTACACTTTACAGAACACTACCATAAACGAGAGAATTTTTTATTAATGTACAAAACACACCCCAAATTCCAAATTAGAGATCAGAGAGGCGATACCACCTCCGGATATTGTACCACCAGCTGGAGTAAGCGCATTCGTATTAACCCCCCAAAAAAGGGACACCACCACCAGTCTTTTGCTTGACAAGCTTATAAAATATAATCAACAAGAGTTCTCAAAATATGCAAAAAAATATAACTAAAAATGGCATAATCAAGCAGATTTTCAACTTGACCTGTATTTTCCTAACATTGATTACTCTTGTGATTTTCTAGACAATAGGCCTATTGGTTTTTCTTGAAATGTGTTGTCAATGTTGCATATATGCTGACAAAAGAGAAAACCTAGGAACAACACTGGGCATATCTCAGCTAGTTTTGAAGATATGAGGGAGAAGAAGATATGCAAAGTTCAGTTCATGGTGAAAAAGTAGGTCAAAGGTCAATTTCAATGTCAGTATATGACCTCCTATTCAATAGTAACCATGGGCATTTTGTTTGTTTGTTTTTTTTTTGCCAATTTTGGAGATTTAAAGGCCAAAAAATATGCAAAGTTCAGTTCATCATGAAAAGTAGGTCCAATTTAAGGTCAATTTCAAGGTCACCGATAACCAGTGTATGACTTCCTATTCAAGTTCAACAGTAACTTTGGGTGTATCTCTGCCAGTTTTTGAGAAATAAGGGAAAGAAAATTTGCAAAGTTCAGTTCATGGTGAAAATTACGTCAAAGGTCAATTTTAGGGTAACAGTTAGATTGCCAGTATACGACTTCCTATTCAAGTTCAATAGTAACTATGGGCGTATCTTTGCCAGTTTTTGAGATATAAAGATCAGAAAATATGCAAAGTGCAGTTTATCATGAAAAGAAGGTCAAAGATCAATTTCAAGGTCACAGTTAGATTACCAGTATATGACTTAGTATTCAACTTCAATAGATACTATGGGCCTATCTCTGCCAGTTTTGGAGATAAAAGGGAAGGAAATTTTGCAAAGTTCAGTTCATGGTGAAAAGTAGGTCAAAGGTCAATCTAAAGGTCACACTTAGATTGCCAGTATATGACTTCCTATTCAAGTTCAATAGTAACAATGGGTGTACCTCTGCTAATTTTGGAGTATTTCACATTTTATTTTCACCACTGAATCTAGCGACATTGTACTTTTTGATATAGTGCAACTCCTAAATCTCCTAGTAAACAAAAAATGGACACCACCTCCAGTATTGCCCTTGACAAGCTCTACAAAATGCAACAAACAAGATGTCTCTAGCATTTATGGTTCCAGAATTAGGCTGAGTTTTCATTTTCGGCATGTAATAGCTACTTCTAATGTGAAAATGCTCCGACTGACCCCCAACTCCCAAAGATGAAAGGAATCCCTAATTGTATTCTCTCACTATAATGTGAGAGCTTAGGTCTGTTAGTTTCTGAGATTGGCTCACACAAATATTTTTTGCATTAAATTCCCATTTTTAGAAAATGTTGGCCTGTTTGACCTTCAAATAAAAGTCAAAGGTCAAATTCAAGTGCATATTTGGATAATTTTTCCAATAATTCCTTCGGTTTGGGAGATATTTAGCATTGAATTTTCAAAAATTTTGACAAGGGTGCGTTTGAACGAACGTCACGCCCAGGCCAATGCACAGAGACAAAAAAAAAAAAAAAAAAAAACGGGGATCAAGTTGAGATTATATGTGACCTAAATCCAAGAGATGGGGGCAGGTCTAGGAAGAGAGGTGATAACGGTGACTTGTATCCCATGCCATCCTGCAGAGCTGTACGAGATGGTCGGGACTAAAACCAAGAGTTCCGCCAGAATACACGCTGGTGGTACTGATTAATATCTGAATTTAAACAAATTTCTGGTTTAGAACTAAACTTGAGCAAGTCCAAAGCCCTGTGGCTTGGATGTAATAGATTAAACAACGAAAAGCCCCTTGGGTTGCTATGGTCAGATAGACCAATAAAAGCTCTCAGAATTAATTTCTCTTTCTACTTATGATTACGAAAGCTGTAGGTTTCTAGACTTCGATAGTAAAGTTGATCAAATTGAAAAGCTGCTTAACCTTTGGTCCAGCAGAGACCTCATATGGATTGAAAAGGTACAAATACTGAAAACGTTGGGTCTGGCTAAACTGGTTGCTAATTAATACAGTTCTTGAGACCCCAAATAATATTATTTTGAGGATAGATGCTCTATTCAAAAAAATTTCTATAGAATGATAAAAAACAAAAAGCAAAATACATTATTACCCCCAAAGAGTAAAGGTGGTTTAAATATGACACGTGCAATTGCACGTGAGGTCTCCGAAGGCCTCAATGGTTAAGTGCATAATGTCAACTGACAACAATGATCCGTGGGTTATAAACATACTGAAATATTTAAGAAGTGTGGGAGGAAAACTTCTTTTCAGTTATAATTTTGAACTGAAGTACATTAACACTACGAACATACCACTGTTTTATGTGGCCTTGTTAGATGCATGGAGTGATCTAACACCCTAATAATGCCTTAGGTATAAAGAAACAGATAATATGGAATAACAGATTCATACTTGTAAACAAAAAGTCAATATATTTAAGGCACTGGTCAAAAGCCGGGGTAAATTATATTCAAGTTATCATAAATATTAATGGTGAATTTATATCATCAGAAGAAATAATAAGTCAACACAACTTCGACATTAAGTTGCCGAATTTTCTTGAATACAAAAGAGTAAAAAAGATCAATTTCGATATCATGGTTACGTAAGCTTCGGGCAAATGCAGAAACAGTTGACAACACAAACTCAAATGAGATAGTATGGAATCTTGCTTCCACAAAAACCATTTACGATAAACTAATAGAAAGAAATGTAAATCTACCTACAGCAAGTTTGCATCTTATCTTATCGACTTGCCGAAAGTTTTCTTGATACCATTTGAGTCTGTCAAAGAAACTTAGCTACAAGCAATGCAATACAATAATTCACAATGTGCTGTACACAAACTCCACACTGTTCAAAATGAAAATAGTTAGTAGCCCAGGATGTATTAACTGCCATATGAAAGAAACAATAAATGTGTACATGCAAGAAACTTTTTGATTGCATTTGAAAACTGGTGGAACACTTAAAATAATAGCATTTATAGTCCCAGAAGTAGAGAGAGTTTTCAGTATGGCATTTAATTGCTGCTTATCCCATGATAATGTACCGACTGACCCCAAACTCATGAAGATGAAAGTGACCCTAAGTGTAACCCCTGCCCATAATATTACAGGTTAGGCCCGAGTTTGTAGTTTCTGAAAACAGTCACAAATTAAAATTGTTTTGTGAAAAATTCCCATTTTTAGAAATTTAGGCCCATTTGACTTTGAAATAAAGATCAAAGGTCCAATCCAAGGGCATATTTGAAATCTCCTCATGACTTTCAGTCAAACATCTACTATAATTTTTCCCATAATTCATTCTGTTTGGAAGACAGTTATCATTTAATTTTGAAAATTTTGGACATGGGTGCAATTTGGACAAGTCCCCCACCTAGAAAATTTACAGCAACAAAGCCCAGATGAGATTATACGTGATCAAACTCCAGGAGATGGGGACACACGCCCTCGTAGTCTAGAAGCGGTAATGGTGATATGGCGGCGGATATGGAGGACGAGGTGGAATGGGACAAAAACTATGCGCACAGTGCAAGCCCTGCCAGTGGTACAATAATAAACATGCCTCCTGAAGGTAAGAAACTCCTGAATATCACAAGTAACTAATAAAACTACTGACTTGACAGGTAGCTTGCCTGCAAAGGTCTCTCAGTTTAAAAATCCAGGTAAGTACTACTCAAAACCTGCACGGGAATGACACTATAAAAAAATCTGACAACAAGATGAACCTAGTAAACTACAGTATATACAGAGGCCATTCAGAACAGAAGATCTGAAGATCTAATCTACTGATGGTCTCCCACCTCCATGCATGCCATTAAACGGATTAAATCATGGCTCCAAGGTTTAATTGCTAGGATGGCGCGTGTGGAGATGCACCTGAAGTGTATCTTGATATTAGCAACACCAGTTATGTCAGATGACCACAGGAAAGGTAGAATGCTGAAACCTACATGATGGGGTATATCAGTTGGACACGAGTAGAAACTATTTTGTTCTCATCATTAAGCACCTTCCATGTACCCTAGCACTCTAATGAAAAAGCGTATAACAATTTCTTTGCCAACAGAAACTTTTTTGGTCAGCAGCTAAATTTTTATTCTTAAGGTTTTGTTACCTGTTTCCCCATTGGTTCTGGATTTGTCACCGTGGTGCTAAAGAATCCATCCCATTCCAGTCTACCATACAGCCCTGCCCAGTGGTTGTGCCTGTTACCAGTGTGGGGAAGACACCATGGAATGATAGTGTTAAACTGACGATCCATTGGATCACATACTCCTCCCTCTGCACAAGAGCATACGCCACGCAAAGCACCTGTAGAGGAATGTCCATTTTTCTTGTCACGGTGTGTGTACACTCTGAAAGTATATAAAACTGAATGGATACTTTTGAGGATGCTGCAGACCAGGAAAATCTGCTCAAATGTAGGATACGGATGAAAATACATTGCACGCTACAGTCAAGGGGTTTCTAACTTTGTTCTTCTTTTTTATATCAAGACTAATAAAACAATACCAAGACTAAATTGGAAATGGAAAACAATCTATCAATTTAGGATCTTTTTGAGTTTCTTAAAAAATGATGACGTTGCACAAAATGAAATTATATAATGTTTTACTACATAATCAATAGACGTCTAATCATGTACTATTGTTAATGGGGACATTCAGAGAAGGTAACTGGCACAGGGCATCATGCACATAGGGGTTGTAAGTCACAACTTGAAAATGCAACTGATGAAAATTGAAATGAAGACAGATGCTGGTGATGCCTATATACACTAAACAAAAATATAAACACACGAAGGAATATGTGGATTAATTTTCATGTATCGAAGTAGAGTATATAGCCAACAATAACAGCATATTTTCCACAGCAAATAGACATCACTTTGAGAGCATTACGGGCAGTTTAAATGCATAGTCCAAGAGTTAGGGCATTAACTACACCATGGGGAACAACATCCTGAGTTCACAGACACTAATAACGAGTATGGCCACCATTAGCTTCGCGCAGAGGAGTACATCAGTGGCACATAGACATCACGGAGTTGTCAATAGTGGCCCGAGGGATATTATCCCATTCCTCCTAGAGTGCTACTTGCAGTTGGGGAACATTCTCGGGAGCTGGAACATGATGGCGTACACACCGAAGGGTAACACTTTCCAATAATATTATTGGTTAAGTCTGTGTAGCTTCTGAATATCAGCACAAATAATTTTTTTTTAGTAAAAAATTTTGTTTTTTTGAAAATTTTGGCCCGTTTGACCTTAAAATAAAAGTCAAAGGTCAAATCCAAGGGCATATTTGAAATCTCCACATATGACTTTTGGTCAGCTGTCTGTAGAAATTTTTCCCATAATTCGTTCCGTAGGGTAGATAATTAGCATTTAATTTTGCCAGTTTTGGACAAGGGTGCATTGCAATGAGTGCCACAACTAGATCCCAGCAGCGACAAAGCCCAAATTTTACATGGAACGAGTGGAGATTATAGGTGACCTAAATCCAAGAGATGGGTACGGAGGCCCTTACCATCTAGGAGGAGAAGCGGTAACGGTAACATGGCGGCGGAACAATCCGGACGGGACTAAAACCATGTGTACTGCCAGCGCCTACCCTGGTGGTACAATAACTACCTAGCAGAGGGCTTCAAGCCCATAAGAGTTCAAAGTCCTATATGTGGTAAGCTTGATGTTCTTTAAAGTCAGATATGCATGGAAAATGGCAAAAACACAAAAATAACTTAAAAACTTCAAATTAATATAATTACAATTAGGTTGCTTTTGTAAGTTGGGGCTTTTAAGTTCTGCAATATCAGCAAGTTAGAGAAAAAAGGTAAAATGGTCTTCCTTTTACTGTGCTTTTGTCATGTCAATTTTGATGCAGTATTAATTGTACTGGAATTAATAACAAGGCAGCAAAGCTGTCAAATGTACAGACAAAAAACAGAAAATAAAGATGCAAAAAAAGGTTATTTTGTCAATTTTGATGCAATAATAAATAATGCTCATAATAGCACTGTCAGTCAACACTGAATTTTAATCATGCACAACAGGTAACATGGTCAATAACAGGAGCGGACCCTGAGATATTTTCTGACAGTATTCCAAAGTATCTATGTTGATCCATCCTCCATTTTGATGGTCTTCCAACAGAAAAAATAGATACCAGTCAATATAAACTTAATAACCTGTTTTCAAGAAGACCCAGAAGATGGTCTCAATCCACCCCTTCAATAAGATTACAGTTTCAGGACCATGAGAGACTATAGTCACATGATGAAAGTCTCAATATTTGAAAAATAATGACAGTGCATAAAATAATTTTATATAATGTTTAAAGACATAAAAAACAAT